ACTGTGTAAGTAACAACATCTGGTCCACAGACCTCATCTTCCATTTTCTTCAAAAATCCCATAGGCATCGACCATTTTCCCAGCTCTCCCAAGCACTATAATACATATAGTATATGTAAAAAATATTTGGCTTCAAACCCAACGTTTCCATCCCTTCCAATAAACCCATTACGGTACCAGTATCCTTTCTCTTCCCCAAGGCTACCATTAGTGCTGAGCAGGTCTTATGCTAGGCTTTATTTCTTCTGTGACAATTCTTCCATAAACCTCCAAAGCCTCCCTACAAGAGCCAGATTGGAGCAGTAAATGGATCAGTCCGTTAAATGAATATGCATTCAAGACAAACCCAGCTTTCCTCATTTTTCCAAGTGCAATGGTGCTGGCCCAAATCCCCCCTTTGACAGAAAGAGCTCCAAAAATGATCGAGTATGTATTCAAATTTCTCTTGACAATCCGCTTTTGCATCAAGTCGAAGACAAAAGCCATATCCCCAATCCTACAGTGAATCCTTAAGAACTCAAGCATGTAATTGCACGCTTCGGTCGTATGCACAAAATTAGGCAACTGGGCAACTGAGTTAAAGTAGGAAAGAGCAGAATTAGGTTCCGACATCGACTTGAGAACGCTCATAACTTCTTCAGATGACACTTTTTCTCTTCTCTTCTCATTTACCATAACCACCTCATGTGAACAACTCGTTCCAATGCCCACTTGCTTTATTCCATGTTTCTTCCTATTCATTGGAGAAACACGGGGTAAAATCTTCATATTTACACAATTGCTCCGTCTCGACCACCCATTATATTAAAAACGTAGATATTACCATCCGTCAAGGCACAATCATAAGATATACTACTAAGACACATGCTTGAGCAGAGGATTAGGACTGCCATGGAAACGCAGCAGCAGCAGCCGTAGTAGTAATAAGGGAAAATCACAACAAATAAGGATGGGGTCCTTTTCCGTAATTTAAAAAATTAATGCTTTGACAAGGAGGCACTAACCTGGGCGTGAAAGAGGAAGGGAACAGTGAACTCAGGCTTCCACGAACTGAAGATAGATATTCGGAATAATCGTCCGCATAGGTAGGGGTGTTCAGTCCGGACCCGTCCCGATTGGCCCGGTATCGTCCCGATCATATCGGGACGGGTCTTGTCCCGGCCCGAAACTAATCGGGACGGGACTTTACGGGACGGGACAGGAAAGAGGTTCGGGACGGGACGGGACACGGGATTACCATCGGGACGTCCCGTCCCGTCCCGAATATTATATATATTATTTTTTATTTTAAATATATTAATTATATTAATATAATTTATACTTATATTAATTATATCAATTATAATTTTAATACTTACAATTCTTATTTAAAACTAAAGTTTTTTTATATTGATAATTTTAATGGCATGAAGTAAACATGGCGATATCTTTCTTTATAATATATTAATTATATTAATATAATTTATTTTTATATATATCTATTTAATAACTTTTATTTACAACGTATTTTTTGCTTATTTTTAGAAGAGTAATTAGCTTAGTACATCTTCACTAAAGTAGAATAACAATGATTTGATGTTATGTTTGACTTGTCTGTTGTTACTAATCTTACAGTGTAAAGATCATTTGTGTTTATTATTATAATGTGTAGTTATGATTAATATAATTCAATAATTGATTTTAAATTATTGTTATTTATGTACTTGTGTTGTTTTGATTTTAAACTTAATAAATTATATGATTTAAAATTTTAATGAATGTTATTATCCAGATCTTTTTTCAATATTATTTCATTTATCGGGACGGCGGGACGTCCCGATCTTGTCCCGGTCCCGTCCCGACTCTTAACGGGACGGGACGACTTTCGGGACGGGACGGGACACGGGACTAAAATTCAGTCCCGATCTTTTTCTCGGGACGGGACATGGGACGGGGGCGTCCCGATCCCGTCCCGTCCCGTGAACACCCCTACGCATAGGTTTCGATAAGCTTTTTACATTTTGGAAAAGTTCTCCACGATGTTATTGGGAGACAATTTCATCTTTTGGACTCGTGTGGGTAGAGCCAGATATTCGGACAGACCGGGCTCGGCTCGAATAGGCCCGAATTTAAAAAAGCCTGACTTTTTAAAAAGTTCGAATAGTCAAATATAACTCGAATTTTTTCGAGCTTCGGGCAGCCCGAATACCTGAATTTAATTTTTAAAATTATTTTTAATTATTTTTTTACTTTAAAATTAATTATTTTATTTTATAAAAAATATAAAATACATTTTTAAATACTTAAATGATGTCTAGGACTCAAATATATGATATTTTAGTATAAATGATCTAAAACTTAAAGAATTAACTAATATTTATTATATTTTATATATTTTTTAAAAATATAATTGTTTTATTCGGGTATTCGAGCCAAGTCCGAACCCGATCAAGCTTAGCCTGAATTTTTTCGAGTCTATTCGGGCTGGCCTGAATAAGCCTGAACATAAAAAATATCCTTTTTTTTAAACCCAATCTTAAAATTTTTCAAGTTAATTTAAACTAACCCATCAGATTTAATCCAAATTACCGACTCTACGTGTGGGAATGGCTTCCTTCAATTTGTGGACCTAGCTTTTGGGTCTGCTGTCTGCTGTCAACCACTCGTCTCCCTTGCAGCGGGTAACTCTCTCACACAAGACTTTTTACGTAATTTTCCCAAATACATAATTTCATGTTTTATATTTAATAAATTGAAATTATGTTTATTCTTTACTTAGGATTACTGAAATTTCGATTTTTTTTTCGAGTATAAATTATTAATTCACAAGTTTTTTTGTATTTATAAATAATAAAATAAAATTATATTTATTCTTCACTTACAATCACAACTTCATAATTTACAAGTAAAAATATTTAATTTACAAGTTATATTTCATATTTTATTTTGCTCAAAAAAAATTTATATTTCATATTTGTAAATATAATTGTATTCTCTTTTTATATATAATTTGATGTGTAAACAATTCGGTTTCAAACGGGCCAAAATCTAAAAAATTATAACTATACGCTTCACATGAGGGAAAAACCATAGATATTTTTTTTATTTTAATCCGTCTTACCTTTTTTATTTCAAGGAAGGGCAAAAAAAAAAAAGGAATCTTTATAAATTATTATTTAACTGGGTACAATGCAACTATCATATTTTAAATCTTGGTTGAACACATTATATGTTATTACTTATAGGTAACTAATCTTTTCACTAGATCTAACTTTATTTTACTTTTTTTATTTTGGCTAAAAACTTACTTTACATTTTTAAGTAAAGAATGAGGTGAGATATGATGGGTGGGAGATTCTCAATCTCACAAATTACATATACCAAGGATTCAAAAATTGGATTGATGGGCCAAACAATTTATTGGTTTAACCATTTTTGTTTGTTATTCAAGACATCCTCACATCCGATAATTGTAAAAATTAATTTTTTAAAAAATATAAATGCCATTTAACAGGCTGTCATTTTTCAAATTGGTTTTAGTATCTTTTGCTATATATATATGGACTCGACTTTGTACCTTTGAAGGCCTATTTAAGTATCTTTTACTATATACATGCGGACTCGACTTTGCTCCTCTGAAACCCCACTCCTTCTAAGGCTTTATTGCACCTGCAACAAAATCTAGATAATCTAAATAGTATAGATTTAATGTTTTATTTTTTGAAAAAAGATTGAGATATATTTTTATTCTTAAATTTTTTTTCAAAGAGCAATTTTATCCTTGTGCTGTTAAGTAAGGCAAGCACCTTGTTGAAAGGGATTTTTTGCTCCTCCAAAAAAAATAGTTCAGAGATAAAATTATCTTATTTATCAGTATAGGGGTAAAATTGCTCATTGAGAATAACTTCAAGAGTAACAAAGCACCTCAACCCTTTTAAAAAATAAAAAATTATAAAATTTTTAACTAAATCCAGTTACCAATCTAGATAGTCTAAATTTAATATTAATGGTCCAAATTTGATAACTTAATTTTTTTTTATAAATTAACTATCCAAACAAATATACTCTGGACAGTAGATTTAATATGAATTATTCACATTTAATATTAATTTTTTTATAAATTAACTATACATACTAAATATCCACATTTAATATGTATTTTTCAAATAAATTTTTTTTTGCTCCAAATTAATCTTATCAAATCCAATAAATACAAATGAGATGTGAGAGCACTGTGAGTCCTTTGTCAAGATTGAGAGCCAGAGGGAGGAAAAGCTGAGATCGTGAGGAGAGGCTAAGAGGGAGAGTAGATTTGTAGAGTTGAAGAGTGTGTTTAAGGTTTTCGTTTATGTGCCTAACCAAATGGTGCATTATATTTGAAATAAGGGAAAGAAAAAAGGGAAATAGAGCTAGCAAAGTTGCTTAGCCCAAATCCTTTTTTTCAAGACTTATTAAAGTTGAACTTTAAAGCCTAGTTTCCTAAAAACACTTCAATTTTTCAAACTCAAGTCCTTATTTACCAACCCTTATTCCCAACTTTATTTGGATGGTTGTTGAGTAGGGTCACACTACTGTAAAAAACACAATTTACTTCCCTCAATAAAGGTGGTGACAATTCTTTAAATAAATGCTTAGTGATTAGAAATATCCACGTCACTTTTAATAAAAAGTGACATAAAAAATAATATTTATGTCATTTTTTTAAATTTAGGATGTGGATATTTGAAAATAAATTATGTTAATCCACGTCTCTTATGTTAAAAATAGACGTAGAAACTAATTTATGTTTCTTTTTAATATAAAAAGACGTGAATTTAATAGTTTAATAAATTAAGAATTATAATTTATATTTAAATAATCAATGTCCAAAATAAATGTAAATTACATGATTGAAATCCAAAAACTTATAATATAAAAAATTCACATCTATTTTCATGAAGAAAGGACGTGAATTTTATACTAAAAAATTTTAATATAATTTTAAGCTTATCCATGACCTTTTTTTGACTAGATGGGATGTGAATTTAAGTGATTAATTTAAAATTATAAATTTTAAAATTAAAATTATCTAAATGCTTTTATATAAAAAGGATGTGAAATTTATTTTTAAAAGTTCTAATAATTAGAAGCTAATCCACATCACTTTTTATGTAAAAAGGGACGTGGATTTGAGTTTACAAAATAATAATCAAATTGATAGTTAAAAAAATTTTATTATTAGAATAATAATTTGAAAATAAAAATTATTATAATAAAAAAACAGAAAAGGCAGATGGAGGAGGTAAAAAGAAGAATATTCATTTTACAGGGAAGATAAATATTTAGATTGAATATTTAAGCTTATAAATGTCACTTTTTTAATAAAATGGGATGTGAATTTGAGTGATTAAATTGAAAATATTAATTTTAATATCTACGTCAATTTCTTATAAAAAAAAGACATAGATTTTATTTTTAAAAGTTTTATTAATTAAATTGGTATTGTCTATTAACTTAATCAAGTCATTTTTTATTAAAAGTAATGTGATATTATTAATTTACTTTTTTTTGGTTGCAAAATCTCATAATATCCACATTCTTTTTCACAAAAAGAGATGTGAATAATTCAGTAGAAATTACAGCTCCAACTCAAAATTTTAATTTCTTTTAATTTTAATTTTTTTGAAAAATTTTGTAATATCCATGTCTCTTTTTCAGTTTTTCTAAAAAAGAGACGTAGAAGAGCATTTAAATTGCCTCCTTTCTTTTTTGTTTTGTCTCTTGCCCATGAATCTCAAAGTTTGAAAACCTCCAGCTTAGAAACAGAAGCCTCTAGCTCTCAAATTGATGGCAACCTATAGCTCATCTTCCTCATTTCATGAAACCCCAACTCCCCCTTCAGCTCATCTCCTTTCTCATCTGGTAAAACTCATAGCTCATCTCCCCCAAAGCTCGGCACCTATAGCTTGCCTACTGAAGCTTAACTCCCCCTTCAGCTCAACTCCTTCCTCGTCTCGTGAAACCTATAGCTCATCTCCCCCAAAGCTTGACACCCATAGCTCATCTCCTCATCGTGACCCATAACTTGTCTCTC